TCTGACAGAAATTCGGCGGTGGTGGACCAGTGGTGGTTCGACGGAACTCCGACGGTGGTCCGACGGTGGTTCAACAGAGCTCCGTCGCTGGTCTGGCGAAACACCGGCGGTGGTCGAGGAGGCAAGAGCGATCTCCGATCTCTTTCTTTTTTCCTTAGGCTTAGGGGTACCTTTTCAAGAGGAGAGAGAGCTCTATTTATAGATTTTGGGAATGACATGACTCGTAAATAGGTGGAGGATCAAGGGTAAGTTGGGAGTGGTTGGATGGGCGGCCGATGTTGAATCCTTTGATCATGAACCGTTTGATGGACATTTGAATGTCTTAGTGATGTCGGAATTTAGTGATCTTGGGCTCGTTGGATTCGTCTCGTTGAGCCGCTCGATTTGATTATCAGATTGCTATGTTTGGAAACCGTTTGGTAATCCAAATTGGGGTTTGAACCTTCCAATAGCATTTCGGGTCCTTGATTTAGACCAATTTGGGCTCGGATTGGGTCGAATTTGGTGTCGTTGAGTTCATATTTCTGAGACGCTCAGTTCGACTATAAGTTTGCTGAAATCAAAGTTCAGATGCTCCTAATTTTAATTTTGAAAGTTTCCAACTTGATTTTGCTTTGAGATTCGTGCCCGATCAAGATAATTTTTTAACGATGTATCAAGCCTCTTTCTACAAATTGCTTTTTCAGTTATTAAGTAATAATTTGTGGACAACAAATTACTTTTAAAATAATGGCAGTAAATAAATGAATAGATAAATGTTTTATCAGAATTGATAAATGATAGAACTTGAAGAGTAATATATGAACGTTGTACATTAATTTAAAATTTATAGATGAACGATCAAGATATCAAACAAATAATGCTGAAATATTATGAATTCTTCACATTTCATATATATCAAACAAATAAGATAAGATGAAAGAAATTTGCAGCTTTTGTATTTTGAATTTTTTTTTTTTATCTTTTGGTAGAAATAATGATATTCGGAATGTGAGCAATCTTGTGCCGATCGGAGCCTCCATCCTCTCGATAGCGCTCCTTTAACTCTGGATGACATCCCCAAATTTCTAGACGTTCCAAAGAGGGAGGAAGGTTCGGTAATTCCCGAAGCATACGAACATTTAAAATAGATAGTTTCTGAAGTGAAGATAAGCTTTCCAAGGAGGAAGGGAGAGACTCTAAGGATTTGAGATCTGAAAATTGCAGCACAGAAAGAGAAGACTTAACATTCAGAGACCACTGCTCCGCCTCATTTGGAAATGAAACCACCTCATCATTCTTCGAAATACTCAGCGTTTTTAAGGAGGCGATACTTCTCAATGGCTCCATTAGCAACACCGATGGATCACTTATAAAGAGACAGCTGAGCATGAGATGGCAATTATTAGTGCTCTCCACTTCTCGATACCTTCCGAGAGAGATCAGATTGGGGCATTTTATAATTGTCAAGTATCTTAGTGCTGCAAGTCGTGCTATTTCATCAGACAGAGGAAGAGATGTAATGTTTGGACACTGATTGATCAATAATGATTGAAGGGGAATAGGATTTGAATTGCTACAAAAATTCAAAGTCGTCCACCCAATATTACTTATGGACAATCTCTTGAGCTTAGGAGGCAAAGAGGGCAACTCTTTCAACTTCGGGCAGTTTTCTATCTCCAGTTCAATTAAGCAAGGAAAGAAACATCCATCTTCAGCAGCTGCTCCTGCCTCAAACCAATCCTCCAATGCTTCTAATCTGTAAATAGATAACACCTCTAGCAATGGAAAGGCACGGTATTTATCATTCCCATTAATTTTACTTTCGAGCCATTTTACTTTCGGTATGTTCCAAAGTTTCAGTGACTTGAGGAAGGGAAGTTGCCCAAAAGGTGGAAGAGTTTCACACTCCAAGCAATCTGACAAGTTAATTTTCTCTAAATTGGATATAAGATTGACATTGTTCATCCATATTGCAGAACTTGCACCCATGTATCTCTTTATGTGCAGATTCCTCAGACATTTTGGTGGCCGAAGATTGTTGAGCACGTTCTCATCGAAATTGATGTTCCTCGAATCAGTGTTACTCCAACATAAGGTTAAATCTATGAGCCTCCTCTTGGCACATAATTTGGCACAAGAAGCCTCCTCGACATCCTTAACATTTTCAAGGTAATTGATTCCTAATTTGCAAAGTTCATTCATATTCTCCAGCTCCCCAATTCTATAACCACTCACATCTCTAAGATAAAACATATTCAGTTCTTGAAGAGACTTTAGCTTCCCAATCCCACAAATCGATGAAGTACATTGTGCGGGAAAGTTCACGTAACGCAAGTTAGAAAGATTATTAATGTAACTTGGTAAAAAATCATCACCTTCAAGTTGGATATACGCCCATTTATTATAGACTATGTACTGCAAGTGATAGAGATTACTTAGAGATCTTGGCAGCATGGTCAAATTACAATTATCAATCTTTAAGTATCGAAGATGTATTAAATTTTCAATCTCCTCTGGTATCATTTTCAAGCCTACTGAAGCATGTATGTATAATAAGCGTAGGCTTTTCCATGTTTTGAATATTTCAACAAGTGCGCTGAAACCCTGATTAGAAGCTTCACTAAACAAGAAAAGAGAATGCAAATATTTAAACTGCCCAATCTTTTTTATGATGTCTGGATTTGTAGTTCGAACGTACAAGTGTCGAAGAGTCTTAGGAATTATATGAGGCAACTTTGTACTATCCTCAACTCTTAAACATTCATGTATGGAAACTGATTGTGCCAATTCATGTATTAAATCATGCATCTTGTAGTAGTATCCTCCAAAATCTTCAAACTTATCAAAGAAAGATTTGTTAACCAAAACATCAAAATACATTCCTCCGATATCCTCCATAGTCCATTCTTGATCATGAGGTTGCTGAATGAAACCCAATGAAATCCACATTCGGACTAAATCACCTTTATCAAACCTATAATCTTGTGGGAATATAGAACAAAATGCGAAACAATTTTGTAGATGCTTTGGGAGGAACATATAGCTCAATCTTAAAATGAGAAAGATGTCACGCTGACCCAATTTTGGACTTACAAAATCACTATTTAAAACTTTTGTCCAATGTCTTTCATCCAAGCTAGAATTCAAAACACCACCGATGACCTTCGCTGCCAATGGAGATCCTAAAAGCCTTTTAACTATCTCTCCAGCAATGGATCTTAATCTTTCATAATCATTAGGATTATCTACATCAGCAAATGCATGAGAGTTGAGGAGCTGCAAACACTGATCTTCCTCCAAGCCCTTTAATCTAAATATTTCCGTCTTCTTTTTGATGACCTTTGCAATCATCATTGCAACCGAATCCATTCGAGTTGTTACCAAAATTTGACTACCAATTTTCCCATAAGCCAGAGGGGCGAGCACCTTCTCCCATTTTCTGATATACTGGTTCTCCTCTTCCTCCCAAATGTCATCCAGAATAAGTAAGAACTTCTTGGACATAATCTCAGTCCTAAGACTATTTTGAAGTGAATCAAGTGATTCGTCCAGACGAGGCCTCTCCTTCTTAAGAGTTGATAACATATCTGCAATGATTTTTTTCACATCAAAGTTGTTGGAAACGCAAACCCACATTTTCAGATCAAATTCCTTTGTCATTTCATCTTCATAAACATGTTGCAAGAGAGTTGTCTTTCCCATACCACCATGACCCACTATAGATAGAAGAGAAATGTTTATGTACAAAGTTGTCCGATGCTCAATGGATGGCTTTCTCAACCACTGCATAACAAACTCCTTAGCCTCGCTTCTACCGATGAGATCATTTGTAGGCAAGGATCCTGTTTCACGTGCTTCGTACAACTCACGCTGCTGCTCCTGCTGCTCCTGCTTTGCGCTATCTAGAAGATGAAGAAAAGTACTAACCCCAGCTGAAACTTTATCTAGTTTCTGCACAATCTCCTCCAGCCTCTTCAAGTTGGGATCAATCTTGAGAGCGCGTTCTCCAACTTTGCGAATTTTCGAAGCACTTTCAATCAGGAAGCTCGCGTTGGCCGTTCTTTTCTGATAAAATTAGCGAGAAATAGATTATAAAATAAATATATTTATTTGCAACCATTATCAAATAGGTAGCTGATGATAGAGAACGCACCTGATCTGTTTCCTCCATGTTTTTAGTCAGCTGTTCTTTATGCTTCATGTACTCAAAATCATCGAGCACATCATCTGCCTCATCAACAGCATCTCGCAGCTGCCATATCCACTTGTTGATAGGGTGGTTCTGATCGCTAATTTGTGCTTGGTTAGCCGCAAAGACGACAGCTTGGATCTTCGGGTGGTTTTGTCGCAGGCTTTCCAGCTCCTTCTTCATGCCGGTCTGCCATCCGACTTGCTCTTCCAGGTAATCAGAGCAAGTGTTGATGATCTTGTCCATGATTGGACCAATAAACCATTCCGCCATGGCAGCGACGATCGAGGTAGAGAGAGCAGAGCAACTGAACAGTAGGAGAAACAGAGATTAGAAGTTTGGAAGAGATAAAGATTAGATACTCTCTAATAATTAAGAGAGAGAGAATATGAAGTTGCCCCGTGGCAGAAAGCCAACAGAAGTCTCCGTCAGAAAATAAGAAAAATGAATGTATTTACATTCTCAAGTTTGAATCTACTCTCATATGATATGTCTTCTTAAATGGAGAGAAAAGAATTATGGGTCGTACACCTACCCTCATTACAAGCTGACGTGACAACGGGTCGATACCCGTTCTAAAAAATGTATTTTAAAATAAATGAGAAGTTTGATTTTTGAGGGGAATATCATTTTATTTATTATTTATATAACTTAAGAAAAATGAATGTTTTTTTATCTGCTCACGATGAATGATTTGATATTAATTTATTTTTTTATGTAATATTTGAATAAAATTTTAAACTTTTTTAAATGAGTTAAATGGGCAGATTTAAACTTTTTTAATATATTTAAATTATTAATATCGAATATATAATTAGATAAGTCTTTTCTTGAACTTTGAGACCATGATACTTTAGAGAACTCTATTAAGTATTAACATCTATATTAATTAATATTTATCAATTTTATGTCGGTCTTTGAATTTTTTTTAATATATTTTTAGCAAAGTCTTCGTACGGAAAAATTATTAGGTGCGAAATATGCACCGTCCGCATAAATATGGATACCTAGCGGTACCCAGCGGTACCGAGTGCCGGTACCTAGCGCGGAATAAGACTTATGCGGACGGTTCTTCCCATCAGCACTCTGCACCTAATAATCTCTCCTTCGTACGACATCCATTTTGCATCTAATCAATCTTATAGGTCTAAATCCTTTTTTACAACATCATATATAAGCTTCAGATGTAAGTTTGTTCTGACAACATTAATTTTGTATTATATCGATCTCTTAGGTTAATTTGTTAGAATTCAAATTAAAGTTAAATATGCATGTATATACATAATAAATTTTAATACATCAATTTTTTAAATATAAAATTAATTCACTTCATTCAGATACTCTGCCATGGTTTGTTGTTTCATTGAAACATTATGTAATTCGTTTTTAAGTTGAATTATTCTTGATCTGTTAGATGCTTGTAATCTTCTTTCAATTGTATTCCATATTTCAGCCGAGGAATCAAGGTGGAGGACGTATGGAAGCATGGCTGTAGAAATTGCTGAACAAAGTGCAGCTGCTAGGTTTTGATCTATCAAAACCCATTCAGTGTATTTTGGATTGATTACAGATGATCCATCACTCGTCTGTTGAAGACGATCCGGTGGAATGAAATTTGGATCTATAAAACTGTAAAACCCATTTGCTTTCAACAACTTTGTGACTTGAGATTTCCATATGGAATAATTCTCGCTTGACAATTGTGTATTCACAATGTTCTTGATATTTGAAATAACAAATTTCAAAGTTGCAGGTATGCTACAAGCATCCGTGCTTGTCTCGGTTGATGGATTTGTGGTTTGGGAAGAAGAAGATTGTGCCATGTTCAGAAAAGCTTACTTGGATTCTGAAGAATTATCTTGATCTTGAACAGGAAGTAGGATTCGGTACTCTGATACCATAAAGAAGCGGGGAAAACAATATTTGAGCACACAGCAGAATATTTTCTTGTATTCATTTTGATTATTAATACATGTATTTATACTAGTTACATGTACTTAACATGTGGTTGTAAATGAATTTAAATCATGTGGCTGAGAATCATTTCTTGAATAAAACTGATGTGTACTCTGCTTTAATTGTAATTTAATAAATCAGAATTGCAGCTATCTTTGTTCTGTCTGTTTCCTTTTGCGGCTTTCTTCGCTCTGGTTGTTTTCTTCTTTTTAGATGGCTGGAACGTCCTTGGATGCTTGGTGACGGCTGGAACACCCTTCAGAGCTTCTTCGCAGGTTCTTATGCCTCCTTTGCCGGGGCTTCACCACCTGAGAACATCTCAAGATACATAGAGCCAAAAAAGGGAAAAAAATAGTTAAACACGCAAAATAGGGGCACAATTCAATAATCAGCTTCTTCTTGTTTCCTTTGAGGTTTTTTTTTTTTTCTTAGACAACAAACAAACAACTGGACAACCACGTTTGGGGTTGGTGAACAACAACATTGTGCATTTTCTTGAAGAAGACAACAATAGCTTGTAGTAAAGGAACTCGCAGCCCACACATAACCCAAGAACTCCTTCTTGAAAGGGGGATCACCACCTGAAATTACTAAGGATACAAAAACCAAAACAACTAAGTAAAAGAACTCAAATACTATTCATCTCCAATCCCCTATTGCAGTCAATGGCTAGATATTTATAGATAAAATAGAACAACATAATATGCTACACTCCAAAGAAGAAAGCACATTCCTATACATCCATATAAGCCACCCTACTCAATTAAACTAGCATGAAGTTTAATTGGATTAATCAACTCAGCTCCAACGTCACAGGTTATCCAAAGAGGGAGGAAGGATAGCTTCTTAAGAGAACAAAGGGTAGGAGGCAAAGAATACGTGCAATCCAAGTTCTTAATTTGATAATATATTTATCTCTAAATAATTTTAATAGCTATAAAATTCATCTCCATGAAATTTAAGTTTTTTTTTCTTAGTTCCCAACACATCATTAAAAAGTACTAATGAGATATCATGTGTCTAAAGGTTTACGTATCGCCATGCGCTCTCGACTAGTCTGGAGGTGCCAGCGGCCGGTTCCTCGTCATAAAAAAATAATAATAAAAAAAAAAAAGATTTTAGTTGTAAATGACCAAAATCAGGAATCTAAATAAATAAAACGTTATTTACATTTATAAAAAGACGATGAAGCGATACATAAATAAAATTGAGTATTGATAATACAAATTGGTTAATGCTGAAATTATATTCTTCACATTTCTTATTAAACAAATAAGATAAGGAGAAAAATGTTTGCCTATCTATAAATACGGATGCTAGGAATGTGAGCAATCATGTGCCGATCGGAGCCTCCATCCTCTCGATAGCGCTCCTTTAACTCTGGATTACATCCCCTAATTGTTAGATATTCCAAAGAGGGAGGAAGGTTCGGTAATTCCCGAAGCATAGGAACGCCCCCAATATATAGTTTCTGAAGTGAAGATAAGCTTTCCAAGGAGGAAGGAAGAGACTCTAAGGATTTGAGAGATGAAAATACCAGCTCAGAAAGAGAAGACGTAACTTTCTGAAGCCACTGCTCCGCCTCATTTGGAAATGAAACCAGCTCATCATTCTCCTCAATTCTCAGCTTTTTTAAGGAGGCGATACTTCTCAATGGCTCCATTAGCAACACCAATGGATCACTTATGAAAAGAGTGCTGAGAATGAGATGGCAATTATTAGTGGTTTGCATTTCTCCGAGAGAGATCAGATTGGGGCACTTTGTAATTGTCAAGGATCTTAGTGCTGCAAGTCTTCCTATTTCATCAGCCAGAGGAAGAGATGTAATGTTAGGACAGAGAGAGACCTCTAATAATTCAAGGGGAATAGGATTTGAATTGCTACAAAAATTCATAGTCTTCCACCTAATTTTTCTTATCTTCAAGCTCTTGAGCTTAGAAGGCAAAGAGGGCAACTCTTCCAACTTCGGGCAGTTTTCTATCTCCAGTTGAATTAAGCAAGGAAACAAACATCCATCTTCAGCAGCTACTCCTGCCTCAAACCAATCCTCTAATGTTGTTAACCAGCTAATATGTAACACTTCTAGCGATGGAAAGGCATGGTATTTATCATTCCCATTAAATTTACTTTCGAGCCATTTTACTTTAGGCATGTTAGAAAGTGTCAGTGACTTGAGGAAGGGAAGTTGCCCAAAAGGTGGAAGAGTTTCACACTTCAAGCAATATGTCAATTTGATTTTCTCTAGATTGAAGATCGGATTGACATTGTTCATCCATATTGCAGAACTTGCACCCATGTATTTCTTTATGCTCAGATTTCTTAGACATTTTGGTGGTTGAAGATTGTCGAGCACTTTCTCTTCTAAATCAATGTTCCTCGAATCAGTGTTACTCCAACATAAGGTTAAATCTATGAGTCTCATCTTGGCACATAATTTGGCACTACAAGCCTCCTCGGCATCCTTAACATTTTCAAGGCAATTGATTCTTAATTTCCAAAGATCATTCAGATTCTCCAGCTCCACAATTCTATAACCATTCACATCTCTAACATCAAACATATTCAGTTCTTGAAGAGACTTTAGCTTCCCAATCCCACATATCGATGAAATACAATTCTCGGGAAATTTCAGGTAACGCAAGTTAGAAAGGTTATTAATGTCACTTGGTAAAAAATCATGAACTTCAGATTGGCTTGGCACCTCTAGGCTATCATAGATTATGTATTGCAAGTGATAGATATTACTTAGAGATCTTGGCAGCATAGTAAACTTCTTAACATAAATCCTTAAGTATCGAAGATGTAAAAAATTTCCAATCTCCTTGAGTATTATTTCCAAGTTCTTTGGAACCCATATGTTTAATAAGCGTAGGCTTCTCGATGCTTTGAAGATTTTAATAAGTGCATTGCAAAGATCCTGATTACAAAGATCTTGATTAGAACCTTCATTGAACAAGAAAAGAGAATGCAAATATTTAAACTGCCCAATCATTTTTATGATGTCTGGATTTGTATTTTGAACAGATAAGTGTCGAAGAGTCTTAGGAATTATAGAAGGCAATTTTTTACCATCCTCAACTCTTAAACATTCATGTATGGAAACTGATTGTGCCAATTCATGTATTAAATCATGCAACTTGTAGTATCGTCGACCAAAATCTTCAAACATATCAAAGAAAGATTTTTTAACCAAAACATCAAAATACATTCCTCCAATATCCTCCATAGTCCATTCTTGATCATGAGGTTGCTGAATGAAACCCAATGCAATCCACATTTTGACTAAATCATCTTTTAAAAATGGATAATCTTGTTTGAATATAGAACAAAATGCGAAACAGTTTTGTAGATGTTTTGGGAGGAACATATAACTCAATCTTAAAATAAGAAAGATATCATCCTGACCCAATTTTGAACTTACAAAATCACTATTTAAAACTTTTGTCCAATGTCTTTCATCCAAGCTAGAATTCAAAACACCACCGATGACCTTCGCTGCCAATGGAGATCCTAAAAGCTTTTTAACTATCTCTCCAGCAATGGATCTTAATCTTTTATAATCATTAGGATTCTCTACATCAGCAAATGCATGAGAGTTGAGGAGCTGCAAACAGTGATCTTCCTCCAAGCCCTCTAATCTAAATATTTTCGTCTTCTTTTTAATGACCTTTGCAATCATCATTGCAACCGAGTCCATTCGAGTTGTTATCAAAATTCGACTACCAATTTTCCCATAAGCAAGAGGGGCGAACACCTTCTCCCATTTTCTGATATCCCGGTTTTCCTCCTCCTCCCAAATGTCATCCAGCACAAGTAAGAACTTTTTGGACATAATCTCAGTACGAAGACTATCTTGAAGTGCCTCAAGTGTCTCCAAATGAGGCCTCTCCTTCTTAAGAGATTCCAACATATCTGCAATGACTTTTTTTACATCAAAGTTGTTGGAAATACAAACCCACATTTTAAGATCAAATTCCTTTGTCATTTCATCTTCATAAACATGTTGCAGGAGAGTTGTCTTCCCCATACCACCATGGCCCACTATACATAGAAGAGAAATGTTTCGGTACAAATCAGTTCCCCGATGCTCATTTGATGGCTTCCTCAACCACTGCATAACAAACTCCTTAGCCTCGCCTCTACCGATGAGATCATTTGTAGGCAAGGATCCTGTTTCACGTGCTTCGGACAACTCGCGCAGCTGCTCCTGCTGTTCCTGCTTTGCGCTATCTAGAAGATGAAGAAAAGTACTAACCCCAACCGAAACTTTATCTAGTTTCTGCACAACCTCCTCCAGCCTCTTCAAGTTGGGATCAATCTTGAGAGCACGTTCGCCAACTTTGCGAATTTTCGAAGCACTTTCAATCAGGAAGTTCGAGTTGGCAAACGCCGTTCTTTTCTGATAAAATTAGCGAGAAATATATTATCAAATAAATATACTTATTTTCAACCAGTATCAAATAGGTAGCTGATGATACAGAACGCACCTGATCTGTTTCCTCCATTTTTTTGGTGAGCTGTTCTTTATGCTTCATGTACTCAAACTCATCGAGCACATCATCTGCCTCATCAACAGCATCTCGCAGCTGCCATATCCACTTGTTGATAGGGTGGTTCTGATCGCTAATTTGTGCTTGGTTAGCGGCAAAGACGACAGCTTGGATCTTGGGGTGGTTTTGTCGCAGGCTTTCCAGCTCCTCCTTCATGCCGGTCTGCCATCCGACTTGATCTTCCAGGTAATCAGAGCAAGTGTTGATGATCTTGTCCATGATTGGACCAATAAACCATTCCGCCATGGCAGCGACGATCGAGGTAGAGAGAGCAGAGCAACTGAACAGTAGGAGAAACAGAGATTAGAAGTTTGGAAGAGATAAAGATTAGATACTCTCTAATAATTAAGAGAGAGAGAATATGAAGTTGCCCCGTGGCAGAAAGCCAACAGAAGTCTCCGTCAGAAAATAAGAAAAATGAATGTATTTACATTCTCAAGTTTGAATCTACTCTCATATGATATGTCTTCTTAAATGGAGAGAAAAGAATTATGGGTCGTACACCTACCCTCATTACAAGCTGACGTGACAACGGGTCGATACCCGTTCTAAAAAATGTATTTTAAAATAAATGAGAAGTTTGATTTTTGAGGGGAATATCATTTTATTTATTATTTATATAACTTAAGAAAAATGAATGTTTTTTTATCTGCTCACGATGAATGATTTGATATTAATTTATTTTTTTATGTAATATTTGAATAAAATTTTAAACTTTTTTAAATGAGTTAAATGGGCAGATTTAAACTTTTTTAATATATTTAAATTATTAATATCGAATATATAATTAGATAAGTCTTTTCTTGAACTTTGAGACCATGATACTTTAGAGAACTCTATTAAGTATTAACATCTATATTAATTAATATTTATCAATTTTATGTCGGTCTTTGAATTTTTTTTAATATATTTTTAGCAAAGTCTTCGTACGGAAAAATTATTAGGTGCGAAATATGCACCGTCCGCATAAATATGGATACCTAGCGGTACCCAGCGGTACCGAGTGCCGGTACCTAGCGCGGAATAAGACTTATGCGGACGGTTCTTCCCATCAGCACTCTGCACCTAATAATCTCTCCTTCGTACGACATCCATTTTGCATCTAATCAATCTTATAGGTCTAAATCCTTTTTTACAACATCATATATAAGCTTCAGATGTAAGTTTGTTCTGACAACATTAATTTTGTATTATATCGATCTCTTAGGTTAATTTGTTAGAATTCAAATTAAAGTTAAATATGCATGTATATACATAATAAATTTTAATACATCAATTTTTTAAATATAAAATTAATTCTCCATTATAAAATTCACATCTTCACATGTGAAATTGAAATTGAGCATGACACCTAAAAAAGGTTCCCCAAACAAATCTAATTTATTAATTTAGGAGAGTAGCATATGATTGTACAATACTATTGCTTTGTTTGAGACAGTTTTTTCGATGCTTTTTAAAACAACTTTCTAGTAAAAAAATTTTTGAATCAAAAAAATTTTATATTAAAAGCCATTTAAAAAGAAGTAAGAAAGCTATCTCAAATAGGGGTGTCAATTTCGGGTCACGGGTCGGGTTCAGGTCGAACCGAAACTGATCCGACACAATTCGAGTCAACCTCGAACCCGGCCCGTTTCTGCAAACGGGTCGATTTTCTAGACCCGAACCCGACCTGCTTTGGGTCCGAGTCAACCTAACCCTGGAGTCAACCCGACCCGACCCGAATGACCCGGTTCAAACAAAAAACTTCTAGTTTTTAGACCCAAAAATAGGTCAAACTCTGCTTTTCGGGTCAAAAACGGATTGTCGGGTCAAAATGGGTTTTCGGATAAAAAACGAGTCATTTTCGGGTCAATGGGTCAACCCAAACCTGACCCTATTTTTAAAACGGGTTGATTTATTGAACCCGAACCCGACCCATTTCAGGTTCGGGTCAACCCAAACCCAAAATTTTAGGTTCAGGATTGGTTCGGATCCAATATTGACACCCCTAGTCTCAATCGAAGCCTTAGTGATAGACAAGTCTATCATTCTACATGTGACGTTCTTTTTGAGCTTTGTAAACAAACAATAATATTATCTTTCTCATCTCATTGATGGTCACTTAATTTGAAGGCATAATTAATTCTAATTAATGGCAATTAATGATTCTTGTGAACTATAAATCACTGCATATTAGAATCAAATATATAATTAGTTGAATTTTTTAAAATCTTAGCTATTGCCATGAGCTTGAAAAAAAACTTATGTGAAAGAAAACTTATAAATAAGGTTGAATAAGATTTAAAATAATAAGATTTAAAATCAAATAATGTATGATTTTGATCAAAATTTGATAAAAATTAAATAAATGAACTAGATCAAGATAATACTAAGGTCAATTTAAATTATTTATAGCTTTAAGCATAAACAAATAATAAAATTAATTCAATTGGAGCATGCAAGCTCATTTTTGTAGATAAACCAACAAATCAATAGAAGAACAACAATATCTTTTTTTGTAGCAGTAATAATCCCATATTAACCAAAGTAGCTAAGAAAAAGAACTAACCATTTAGGAGAGGAAGAACATCTTCCATGTGTTTCCAGTTTTTAATCTTACAGAAGATAATATTTCTGATCTTAAAGTTGATGGAAGCAGAACTTAGGAATTGTCAAAATTTCTAGCATTTATTTCTCTCTATAAATGATATAGAGTGCAATGAGTGGACAAATAGAGGAACTTTTTTCCATTTGGAGGCATGTTTGTCATCTCATTAATGTGTTCCAGCAGTTGTCAAAGGTTAGGCCTAAATAAAAAACTAACAGCTTACGGAAAAAGGAACGAAAGAGTATGATAAGAGTTTCCAATTTCAAAAAACAGGTGGTTAACATTTTCAGAAAACGTATTACATAGAATGAAAGTATCAGATGCTGCTATATTCCTGCCTATAAGTTGGTCAGAGGTTTTTAGACCACCAACAAGAGCAAGCCAGACAAATGAAGAGAAGCTTATAGAATGTTTCTTGTGTGAGACCTGTTTAGACCCATAGACAAAAAGCTTATCAATATAAAATTCATTGATGAAGGTTTGAACTTTGAAGGTGTAGTTTAAAAGAACTATTACAGGAAAGCCCCCAAAAAATGCCCATTAATATACATAGGGGTGGAGGTTATGACATTTTTAACAAAAGGAGGAAGAAGGCCATGTAAAGTTCAGCTATAATTAGATATGAAATTGGAGACATAGGAGTGAACATGAATGATGAGAGAGTGAGGGTCTAACAGTTCACAAACAGCTTTGCGAAAACTCCATGGGTCCCAAAGGAAGGAGGTGAAATTGTTTTGAGATACATGAAAAATAATTTTGGACTTAATTTTATGAGCAACATCAAATAAGTTTTTACTAAAAAAACAGAGGCATTTCTCTCTGAAGGTTTCCATGAGTATATGTAATAAGATTTTATCCATGTTGAAAGAAAAAAAACTATGATAGGAAGGACCATAGTTGGCGGAGGAGGTCGGAAGGACCGTACTTGGCTGGCGACAGAGGTTGGAATGACTGTAGTTGGCGGGCAATGGAGGTCAGAAAGACTGTAGTTTGGTGATGGTGGTCGAAGGGACCATAGTCGGCGAACGACAGTTGTTGGAAGGACGTAGTCGGTGGACGATGGAGATCGGAAAGACTGTAGTCTTGTGACGGTGGTTAGAGGGATCGAAGTCGGCGAAGGAGGCTGGAAGGACCGTAGTCGGCGGGCGACGGAGGTCGGAAAGACCGTAGTCTATTGACGGTGGTCGGAGGAACCATAGACGATGGCCGACCGTGGTCATAAAAGACCGTTGTTTATCGAGAGAGGTACTGTTGTCTGCGATGGAGTTCAAAAGGACCATAGTAAGCAAATGACAATGACCATAAAGACTGTTTTCGAACAACGGATGTCAAAAGGATCGAGTCGACGGGTGACAATAGTTAGAAAGATTGTTCTTTGGTGAAGGAGATTGAAAGGATCATAGTTGGATGGCGACAGAGGTCAGAAGTCTAGAGATGGGCGGAAGTTCTGCGTTGGGTAGAAGTCCGACGAAAGCCGGCGACGGCAAAAGTTTCGCGAAGAGCGGAAATCCTTCGTTGGGTAGAAATTCGGTGATGAGTGGAAGTTTGGCATCAGGTAGAAGTTTGACAAAAGTTCGATGACTAGAAGAAGTGCCACGACGGGTTGAAGTCCGCGTGAGGCAGAAATTTGGCGATAGGCGGAAGTCCAGTGTTGTGAGACCTCATTCCCTTACTGTTCCTCTCTGGCTTGGATTTTCCTCCCAGAATCGTCCGGGACGATAGTGAGATCGGCCAGGCCGATCTGCACTGTTCAAAATACCAGATAACTCTGGTAAATTGTTTGAGAAATTGATTGTCATTCTTTTCAAGTTAGATCTTGGGGCGTGACAAGTGTCCGGTATAAATCCAGCGACGGGCGGAAGTTTGTCGTATGGTAGATGTCCGACGGAAGTCCAACGATGGGAGGAAGTCCAAAAACGAGAGGAATTCCGACGACTGGCGGAAGTCCGGCATCGGGTGGAAATCTGATGACAGTCATGCTAAAGTCCTGCAGTGATCGGTTGCGGTCGTCGCCGAGTGGTGATCTGACGACGATTGGGCTAAAGTCTGGTGGCGGTTGGTGGTCGGGTAGTGGTCCAATGATGGTCGGGCTAAATTAAGTCTGGCGACGCTCGACCACCAGGTGGAAGTCCGGCGGCTGTTGGAGTCTAAGCAGCACCACCGCTGTTGGGTGGTGGTCTGACGATGGTCGGGCGAAGTTCGACGGCGGCCGAGCAGTAGTCCGATGACGGTCGAGTTGAAGTCCTGTGGCAGTCGGAGACCAGGTGGAAGTCCGGCGACGATCGACATCCAAGAGGTGGTTAGACGACGGTTGGCAGCCGAGGGGATGTCTAACGACATTCAGGCTAAAGTACAGCAGTGAAAGACGAGCGATCCTTGGTTCGATTACAGTCATGGGTTTGCCGGCGGTGGTGCTGGAGCTCTTGAAACCTTAGAGCTCTCTCCAGTCTCTAGCCCGAGCTCCCTTTCATGTAGAGAGTGAGGGTCTATTTATAAATTTCATGAATGACACACCCCAAAAATATAGAAAAGATCTGGGGCAGGTTCGAAGTGCTCCAACGGATGGCTCGTGTTGTTTCCACACTCATATAAAGTTTTTCAACTGTTTAAGTTCCTTAACGATGTCGAAATTCAGCGATCTTGGGCTTGTTGGATTTGGCTCGCCGAGCCGCTCGATTTGACTACAAACATGTCATATTTGAATATCATTTTGTCATCCAAATAATGCTTTGATACTTCCAAATGTGGTTCGGGCCCCCGATTTGGACCCATTTGGGCTCGGGTTGGACCGAATTTAATGTCGTTAGGTTCGTCTTTTAGAGACGCGCGTTCAATTCAACTATAAATTTATTGAAATCAAAGTTCATATGATCCCGAATTTGATTTTAAAAATTTCCAACTTAAATATGCCTCGAGATTCTTGCTCGATCACAACAATTTTTGGCGACTTATCAACAAAGACGATCAAGTTGGTCTAAGTTAGTTGTGATTGTTCTAGAAAAGCAAATCAGCTGAAAGCCACCTCCTAAAAAATCCTCAGCTTTCAGTTAAATTTAGCATCAATAGCAAGTGCGCATACCAGCAATGAAAGGATATCAGGTGACAAGCTCTAGGGAAAGCAAGATAGAAGAACTACAATGGTCACAAGTGACCTAACTTTATTAAAATCACCTGCCTTCTCTAATTCCAATTCATACAGACTCAGGAACACATGAACTAAGAATAACTAGGTACAGCTTTTACTTAACAAGCAGAACCCTCCAATGACATCAAAATACATCACTTTATTAACTCCAAATAAATCTCCCATAACAACTAAACTTGCTGAATGTTAGAGTCATCATCACAAGTTCCCTCAGAGGAATGCTTCCAACCTAAATTCACAGCCAAGTCCTCAACTGCAACCTTGACCACATCTTTTCTAACTCCTATATCAGTGATATACCTCCCAGCAGAGTACATCCCAGCAGTCACAGTTGCCATCCCCACAGGCCCCGCCATTAGCAATTTGAAAGGGCTAGAAAAAAATAGCAGCTAATGGAATGCCAACGACAGAAGATGCCTGCCCACTCCTTCCTATTCCCTGATCATCAATTGGCAGAAGCCCAGTCTTGCAATAGAGCGCAAAATCCTCACAATTATTCTCAAACAAGTCATAATTTCCAAAACCATTCTGCAGGAGGTACATTGCTCGATTGATCACAGTCGCCGGAGGATCAGAGTGCGCAGTTGTACAAGTGCCGCAGGAGGTACATTGCTCGATTGATCACAGTCGCCGGAGGATCAGAGTGCACAGTTGTACAAGTGCCGCCGCGAACTTTAGCAAGGAACACCGGCGGCGCCACTCCATACTCAAAATAGTAGAGAGATCCTTTGTCAAGAAAACAGTCAAGGCAAGAAAGGATGACTCCGCTGTTGGGCTGTTCGAATCAAGGATAACTTTCGGTCTTCTTACAGAACTTGTAGTCTGACCAAACAAGCTAACAAACCAACTTGATTTTCTTTTCCTACAACATGAAAAGCATATCAATATGCAGTGAAAGCCATGAAAAATACAATCAAATTGTATTCACAGGCAAAATTTCTGCTATTAATTAAGATAAAAGCATCATATCTCGATGGAGCAAAATGCATTCATATAGAGGTAAAACAATTTTATTTTCCATCAAATTGAATTCACAGACAAATTTTTTTGATATTTCATGAACAATTGTATTTTCCATCAAGCAAAATGCATTCCAAACTTTGCACAAATTTTTATCATGATATCACAAATTGCAATTAACAAATAGGAAAAGCTACTTGAGCGAGCCCGTACGATAAAATAGCAAATAAATGGCGAACATGCATGCGAAATTTAGGGCATCACAAGAAAATTTTAAATGCATCACAAGAATCATTCAAGAATTTAGTAAATTTAAGAATAGCTACAAAATGGCGACCGGACTACAAAAATTAGGGCAGATTAGAGGAGTTGGAAATTACCTAAGACCGATCAACCGAATGGCGACCCGGAATTTGTCGGCGATGACTGATTCAGTGACGGGAATGGTTTCGACATCAACGCCGGTGGATTCGGTCGTGGATGGCGATTCGAAGGCGATGGTGATTCGGAGGCGACGACGAAGGTTTCGGCGAGCGAACGAGCAATCGATTGAGCAAGCGCGGTCGAATGACTAGGTTAGGGCATATGGGGGAGGAATATAATGCCGGTTTTAGCTGAGGTTAAAGCCGCTGTTATAATAATTAGATAGCATCGGTTAAAACCGCTACCTATACCCTTCTATAGCACCGGTTTTCTGACCGCTGCTAGTAAGGGCTGCGAAAACTTCAGTTTTTTGGTAGTGAGAAGAATAATCAATTAGTTTTAGAAATAAAAATGTGATTACATTGATCAAAGAACATATGTGACATTACATGACTACACTATAAATATATAATTAAAAAATTTGTATTGCATGACTCCATTAAATAAGTGCTTCTATGACTTGCATTAATATTAAACAACATATATAGAAAAATATCAGCGATACATAACCACGTAACATATATAATTATTGTGAAAATGTTAAGAATTGTGGTGGAAATACTAAACATAAATGAAAATATATTAAAAACAGTTGAAATAGGATCATATGCTTATAAGATTTACACATTATGTATCTTTATATATTTAAATTATTAGTGAGAATGTAAAAAAATAAAATTATTGATGTAACAAACCTTTTAATTGTTTGGGCTACCAAACTTGTAAGAACTTGTGACATATTTAATGAAATATTAATTCTGTGAATTCAATTTCATATATATCAAACAAATAAGATTAGACAAAAGAAGTTTGCATAAATATTTATAAATACTGATATTCGGAATGTGAGCAATCTTGTTCCGATCGGAGCAATCTTGTTACGATAGGAATGAACCGACTAAAACCAATCATTATTTCCATAAAACACTTGATTTAATTTTTGAATTGTTTAAATAATCAAATAAATTAATAATAAATATTAAGTAATATTTATATTTTAATAAATTAATTTAAAATTAAAATATTTAACTGTGAGTTATTCTCTGTTATTGCAAGCATTGAGTAATAATAATTCTTAAATAAATATATACAATCATAATAGAGATAATCATACAGATCAAAATAGGCAAAATCTTTTTGTATTTTAAAAGCTAATTAGATTTTAGCCTTCGATAAAATCCTAATACCTCTAAAGCTTTGGAATCAGACAAAAATGAGAAAATCCACATACATGCAACAAAATATATAAATACAATCTTCAACATCAAAAATCAAATAGTTGTACGTTCATCAAAAGCTGTCCCAAACAGTACCTTAGTTACATAACATCTAACACACATATGAACCATTATATGCCAACAATTAGATAAGACAAGAAGGAGAAATTCCACATACAAGCAACAAAACATATAAATACAATCTTCAACATAAAAAATATAATAGTTGTTCATCAAAAGCTGTCCCAAATAGTACCTTAGTTACATAACATCTAACACACATGTGAACCATTCTATGCCAACAATTAGATAAAATCTTAAGAACTCTACAGACAAAAAGAAAAGCATAAATACAAAGACGGAGGGAGGTCAAGTAGTTCACAGAGCTGTAGAACACAAGTAATGGAAAGTCGTTGGAAGAAGAAAGGAAATGAAGGCGAGGAGGCATTTATCAGTGGTCTCCACTTCTTAATGTCCTCTGAGATAGGTCAGGTTCTGGCAATTTCGAATTGAAATGGTACAATAGTTGCCAATACCTTGTAGCCATTTACAATCTTTCCACCCGATGATATCTATCTCCAATTTCTCGAGCTTAGGAGGGCAAGATCGAGGGCAATTCCAGCAAATTTGGGCAATCTTCTAGGTACAACTTAGTCAAGCAAGGAAAGAGACATTCATATGATGCTGCTGTTGCAATAAGCCAATCCTTCATTTGTTGATAGGGGTGGCCCCCGATTTGGACCCATTTGGGCTCGGGCAAATTTAATGTCATTAGGTTCGTCTTTCAGAGACGTTCAATTCAACTATAAATTTGCTGAAATCAAATTTCATATCTTCCCAAATTTGATTTTAGAAGTTTCTAACTTAAATATGCCTCGAGATTCTTGCTCGATCATAGCAATTTTTGGTGACATATCAACTAAGACAATCAAGTTGGTCTAAGTCAGTTGTGATTGTTCTAGAAAAGCAAATCAGCTGAAAACCACCTCCTCAGAAATCCTCAGCTTTCAGTTAAATTTAGCATCAATAGCAAGTGCGCATACCATCAATGAAAGGATATCAGGTGACAAGCTCTAGGGAAAGCAAGATAGAAGAACTACAATGATCACAAGTGACCCAACTTTATTAAAATCACCTGCCTTATCTAATTACAATTCCAACAATTCATACAGACTCAGGAACACATGAACTAAGAATAACTAGGTACAGCTTTTACTTAACAAGCAGAACCCTCCAATGACATAAAAAAAAAATCACATTATTAACTCCAAATAAATCTTCCACAACAACTAAACTTGCTGAATGTTAGCATGTTCCTCTTTAGATTTGTTGGAAAAATGAGCAGCATTTGAAGTGTCATCAGCATTAGAGTTATCATCACATATTCCCTCAGAGGAATGCTTCCAACCTAAATTCACAGCCAAGTCCTCAACTGCAACCTTGACCACATCTTTTCTAACTCCTATATCAGTGATGTACCTCCCAGCACAGTACATCCCAGCAGTCACAGTTGCCATCCCCACAGGCCCCGCCATTAATAATTTGAAAGGGCTAGAAAAAATAGCAGCTAATGGAATGCCAATGACCGAAGATGCCTGCCCACTCCTTCCTATTCCCTGATCATCAATTGGCAGAAGCCCAGTCTTGCAATAGAGCGCAAAATCCTCACAATTATTCTCAAACAAGTCATAATTTCCAAAACCATTTTGCAGGAGGTACATTGCTCGATTGATCACAGTCGCCGGAGGATCAGAGTGCGCAGTTGTGCAAGTGCCGCCGCGAACTTTAGCAAGGAACACCGGTGGCGCCACTCCATACTCAAAACAATAGAGAGATCCTTTGTCAAGAAAACAGTCAATGCAAGAAAGGATGACTCCGCTGTTGGGCTGTTGGAATCCACAATCAGGGAAGGTGGGGCAGGCTAAAGGGGGCTGTAGTTTAGAACTAGAAGAGATGGATGAGGAATCAAAGGTTGATGGTGATGTTTCTTTCTTCCTGGTGAAGTGAACCACCTTCTGACCCCCCACATAAATACCTGCATATTTAAATGAATCAAGTAATGAACCAAATGAATAAATAGATTAGAAATTAGCTATACCGGTTTCAAAGTTAATTTTGGTGATGAGATGACATTTATAATGATCTACTATTCCCCGCTACGAGCAAACTTTCAAGGTCACCATCAATCAGGATTAGAATATTCTTACTTTTTGTAACATGAATGGGAATCTCAGGAAAAATAGAAGATAGGTAGAAACTCCCAAGGCACTTCACATGCAGAAAGTTAGCCGTGTCTGCTGCATATTATAGATCCACATGCTAGTCTACTACATCCGAAAGATTTGTTATCAAAAGATATCGTGAGTGATAAAAAGAAAAGGCTATAACAAGTAGTACCTCAACAGAGTCCTTTTACAGCTCAATAGGATTTTCTATACTACAAAGATAAATAAAGCATGAACAATACCAAAAAAAAAAAAAAATTCCATTGATGAACAAACATTTGTTTTTGATTCTTTCTTTTTGGTAAAATACTTGCTTCAATAATGTAAAGCAGGTACAAACTTCCAAGTTAAAAAATACAAGAAGTTTCATCATTTGTGGAAAGAATAAACAGAGGTGTGCCGACTACTACTAAGAACCTAACAGAGCTTGAGCATAAAGTTCCCTTCAGGGGCGGGCGGATCCAATACTACTCTAATTTCATTTAGAAAGGGGGGTTAAATCCGGGTCGGGTTGACCCGAACCCGAATAAATCCGGGTCAGTTACGGGTCAGGTCGGGTTCGACCCGTAACCCGAAATTGACAGGTCTATATATAGCTGTGTGCAACGGACGGAAAATATAAATTGGATGATTATTAAGACTATATATTTGTTTAAGAAAGAACTCAAATAAATTATGTAAAGGAAGAGTGCATTAAATTTTATCACGAATTTTAGAAAGATGTAGAAGATTAAAAATTCCTATCAAGCATATAAAAGAGAAGGATGGGAGGAAAAATATTTAGTAATATGTCATGCATAGTTAAACTATAAATATTATTAAATTACGAAAGAAGTAAATCCTAATATAATATTTCAAGGTTTGGATAAGCTAAGATTCTTGCCTAAAAAATGCAGCAATAGTAAAGAACTACTTAAGTATTTAAATTCAGTGCTTATTACCATGCAAAATATTACATTTGTTTGTGTTAATCAGAGAAAATATTCAAATGCATTATTTACATCAATAATGAACACCATTGAACCCCTTCATTTAGCGTTCTCAAATCTCAACTTCTCATAGGTCCTCATACACCAACAGACATAATTTATCTAGTTCACCAGAATACCCACTAAACCCATTCATTCATGTACACCAACTGCCATAATTTATCAAGCACAGCAATAAAATAATAAAGATTGAATTAGGGTTTTATAATGACAATACGACTATGTTAGGACACTACAGAAGAAGAATAATTTTCTTAAACACCAAAGTAAATTAATCTGAAAACTTTCTAAAATTTTTATCATTATAATAACAAAACCTGAGGCACAAAAACAAGCATCTACTTTCCAGCCCTGCTCACCACTACATCCATGTGGTGTAGGATTCCTCCTCCTTGAGATATCCAAAAGCTATGATGCACTGATACTTCTCCTCAATGAGGTATGCAGTGTCCGACACCTATCGGACACGACAAGCGTCCGATACGGCTCTGATACCTATCGGATACACCGAAGATGTGTCCGATTAAAAAATAAATAAAAATAAATTGAACACGCGTGTGTTAAATGTTTTATAATTTTTTTTAATATAATATCTTATATTTTGAATTTTTTATTTATTAAAAAATAAAAAACTATTTTTTTTCTCTTAACAACCCCAAATCAATTGCCCGCACTCAGTACCTCATTCCTCAAACATACCATTTTCATTTCTCTATGGTAGATTGTAGCTATGGTTTCACAACAACACCTGACGCAATTGCAACATCGATCTTCGATGCTGTCGCAACATCAATGTTTCAAAACCATATGAAAATTAAAGTTTAATGATAGCAATTATTATCTCCACAATCAAGCCCCTACGTCATCTCGAAATCTCATCTTTGTTCAACATCATCTCGATATAGATGGCCAACATTGTCTCAACATCGACGCTCGATGTCTGACTCTTGATAACATTGTCGTTTCTCCTCTCGATGCTTGAAACGTGATATTGACGCCCGACTCTCAACATCCTATTATTAATCATTTTAAGTACAAATCCTAGTTAAATGATTTATAATTTCTTAATTATTTTACAAAATATATATATGTTTATTTTAAGATATAAAAATTCTAATACCGTGTCCAACCTGTATTTATTTCCTATATTTTTAATAATTTACGTGTCATGTATCCGTGTTGTATTGTGTCCGTGTAGTGTCCATGCATCGTAGCCAAAACTTTAGTTGCTGCTGATGAAATTCTTCATATGCCATGTGCTTCATCCCATTCTCTGCCATTGCGCGACATGCTTTTGAAGGGAGAGGTCTACAACATCTTCATCATTGGTTTTTCACAAAAGCACATGTTGTCACCATTAATGCGGGATAGGATCATGCGCACACGTACTTCGCCACTAGTATCTAATCTATGAAGATGTGTGGTCGTCTCACCACACCAGTCTACATGAGTAGAGGTCGAAAATAAGGAAAACAAGATGGTGTGGTGAAATAAGGATGGGCAGAAGTGGAAGCATTGCAGAAATCCAACATCCATATAACAAAAAATTTTTTTTTTTGCTTCTTGCCTCTATTTTTTGGCTTCAAACTTTCCATCAAGCCATATGCCATCGATATAGTATATGATTAGCAATCTCATAGCCAACCACATCTTTATATGATTTATTTGTTTTAAGAAACAATACAAAATTTTGATAAATTGCATTTAAGAATAACTCATACACTTGCATCTACCCGTTGTGCCTTCATAATGTAGATATGGATTAGTTAATTGGAAAATTGTTCTAAGTTCTCTAATTAAAATGGGTATTCAAAAATCAACCAACCTCTGAAAAAAAAAAGGTTCAATATACAGGTCCTAATTCAGTTTAACAGAGCCGTAAGTTAGTTTAGCACAGGCATTATAGATCAGTAGATCTAAGCAAAACAAGAAAAAAAAAAAGAGCAATTGATCAGACAAAATTGAAGGAGCATATTTCGAGAGGAACACATCATCAGAAAAAGGTCCAAAAGGGAAAGCAATAGAAATGCACATCTTCCTTCTTTTGTCCCCAAATGAACGGAATAAAGTATGCTCTCTCACATGTGCATGAGCTTTACATAACACAATGGTATTGCCATCAAATGAAGAAAAGAAACGAGCTTTCTTAAGAACAAGGCAATTCTTCAAACGTTAAGCAAGCCACAAACTCAATTCACCAAATGCATTGAAATCAAATTGCCATGGCTAGCAGCATTCAGCATTCAATTGAGAAACTACGCTCAACATACTACATATTTACATTTCACACAAACGAATAGCATGATTAAAACAAAGCAATTGTTCATTTTACAGTGTTTAGATCCTTGAAGGACTAACATTTCACAGATCAAATTCTCTTTTTCTAGTTAATACCAAACCTAATTCGTCCGCCAGATTGGGGAATTCAGTCAAATGGCCCATCCCTACCCGACATTTCCTCAAACCAGATAAAGTAAACCAATGTCAACAACAAAACACAAAAGAAAAAGGAAAAGAAGAGAAATTCCAGAGAAACAATCGGAAAACTCCGAGAACGAAGGAGATCAAAGTGGAGAAACGAACCGTGATGGGAGTAAGTGTACAGAGCTCTCCAACTGTAGATGTGATCTCCTGCCTTTATCTCCGATCTCTCCACTCTGCACGAGAGGAGACCCATCTCTCTCACTGACCTCTCTCTCTCTCTCTCTCTCTCTCTCTGTATTCTTCCCTATAAAAAATCGAAGAGTTGAAGATCTGAGACTTCTAAAATATAATTTTATTAATACGTCACTCAAACATTGTTAGTTCTATATATACCCTCCTTTTTCATGTACGCTTAAGGCAACGTTGCTTCTTGTGAGGCGGAGATTGAGATAGGAGGCATGAAAAGGCCAAGAAAAGAACTAATGTAGAGTAAGCGTATCAAGGAGGAAATTGTAATTTTGTTAGAGATTTATGAACTATTTTTGGTGGTGTGTATTTGTTATATGAAATATATTATTATTAAAAAATTTTATTTTTATTATAAGTATTTATATATATAAGTCGAATAAGATTTTGAATAATATTTAAATAAAATTTTAATATGATTCCAATATAAATTGAATAAATTTGATCATAATTTAAATAAATTTTGAAGATGATACAAATATAATTGGAATATGATTATAACAAGTAACATGACGTTTAATGAGATTTCAAATTTAGGATTTTGAGTTTAAATAAAGTTTAAAACTCGTATTAAGATTTCATATATCATTCGCTTTTTATATTGGAGTTCTCTTTTAATATCCATTATTTTTTTCAATAATTTATTTACGATGAAACTATGAAAATCTATATAATCAGAAGTTTGTTACTAATCTTGAATAAATGGTGGTTCAAAAGTAGAGGTTTTTGTTGTAAAGTTTAATGGTAAATTGATCCTCTAAACTCTGAGTTTATTGAAGAAAAATACAATAATATATAGAGGCATTCACAAGCAACTCTTTTGTTGTAAAGTTCATGTTGGATTACATCATGGATCAGCCTTAAGCCCATATCTTTTTGCTTTAGTCATGGATGTTCTCACTAGACATTTGCAAGAGAATGTACCTAGGTTGCTTTTTGCTAATGATATTCTTCTTGTTGATAAAATTAGAGAGGAAGTTGAAGGTAAACTTGAATTAAGGAGATCAGCCTTAGAATCTAAAAGTTTTTGCTAGAGTATATATAAATTTGAGTATATGAAGTATAATTTTAGTAGTAATAGGCATTGTGAGGGGATTATGACTTTGGGCGATCAAGTAATTCATAAGAGTACTCATTTTAGATATCTTGGATCTATTGTTCAGAGTGATGGTGACATAAATAGGGATATTATCAGCATAATTTAAGCAGGATGGTTGAAGAGGAGGAATGCATTGGGCTTGTTGTGTGATAGAAAAGCCCCCCTCAAACTTAAGGAAAAATTCTATAAGATGGTGGTGAGATGTAACGCTCCAGGCATCCATAGTGAAAGGATTCGTCGACTGTCTTGATCAATCTCCATTCATGCTCCCTTGCTCGGACCTGAAATTGTTAACCACATATAATGAGCTTCAAAAAGCCCAGCAAGTCACCTAATACCTATAACTGAAATCAAAGCACGGTACTGAAACAATATGCATGTTAGTCAATCAAATCCATAACAGTCAATTGCACATGATCAGTGAATCTATGCTGATACAAAAATCAGTAGTCAATGCACAATCAATAAAATCCGTAGTCAGCAGTAGAAGAATCGTTAAACAGCAGGAAGAAATCCGTAAAGCTCAATAAATCAGTACATACGATAAATCTCGTAAGGATCCAATGAAATCTTGATCAAATCGATAGAGGAAAATCATCGTCTCGATATCATTTAAATCAATTAAATCAATATCGAATCAATCATCTTTGGTCAATATTATCAATCGGTAAGAAATCATATAAAACAATCAAACCAATACATCATAAGAACGATTGAAATCAAATCAATACAGTAAAACTTATTCCGTATTGATCAATGAATCACATGCAGCAGTTCAATGTGACGTATCAGAAGCGATAATATCAATGAATCAGTATCAATAAATCAATAGTATCTATATCCAGAGCATCAATGAATCAATACAATATCCATATCCATATCAGTATCATTATCAATGCTCAGTGACATAATGCGAATATCAATGAAATCATACAGTAACAATAAATCCGTAAATCCGTCAATAAATAACTTTCAATACAAATCCGTCGATATCAATAAATCCATGAATCCATAATGCGATAAATAGGTCAATATGGTACACATGCAATTCAGTACAGTAGTCTTACTGAACAAGTACAATCACTGGCTATTAAGATGTTTTTCAAGTCGATAATCCATAGTGCTGTTGTAG